TTATCAGCAGAAGACTCTCGCAACATCAGAAAAGAGTAATGGTCAGGGTCCATTTGATTCTATGTTTAGCTGATACTAAAGAAGAAGAAACGGTTCAAGGAGTTACCTGTAGAAGCTAGAGGAGCCGAGTATAGTGGTCATCGGTTCTAGGTGGAGAAGATTCTGAATCAAAAATCAAAATTTCAAGGGTTTCAGGTCAGAGAAGTCGAGAGGTTTCATTATCACTCAAGATAAAACGGGATAAAGAGTTCGATAGAAGAAGAGTACCTGCAATTGTTTGGTGAAGAAGAGAAGTCACAAGAAGACGAGTCGTCATGGCGTCGAGGCTGGGTCTTTCGTGATATGGATAAAGAGTCATCGGGAAAGGCTGATTCTCTAATCTACCTAAGCCAAACATCGGAATGAAGCAATCGTCAGATTTGATAGATCGGATATCTCATGCAAATCGAAACCATAGAAAGTCGAATTTGAGGAAGCAAAGGGATTATGAAGCTTACTAGCGGAAGATCGAAGAGGCAGAAACGGGCTTGAGGAAGATCAGAAGTGGAAGGACTCATCGCTGAAGAGAAATTTTAGACCCGATGACAAAGGGAAGATGGGTCCTCGGCGAGCCGAGACGGACTTGTGGAAAGCAACCCCGTCGGGAGAAAGAAGCCGGGTAATCGGAGTTGAGAGGCCCGAAGTCGAAGAGGCGGTGATGCATCTGCTGCGAAGTCGACGGCTGCTGCGACGGATGCCGCGACTGCTGCTGCGACGGCCGATGCTAGAGCTGGCGACTCAGTCGAGCGAAGACAAGGACGAAGTCGGCGGAGGTGACGGAGGCGCTGCGAGCAACGATGATCTCCGGATTGACATCATCGATTTTTTTTTTTCTCTCAACGGCGCAAGAGGAAATGAGGAGAGTGAGAGATAGGGTTTTCTTTTTGTGAACAAAAAGGAGATAATTGGGCCCAAGGTGGAGTTTGTAGAATAATGGGCCTTAATTAACTCTAGCCCAAATCTAGCAAATGTCTAAAGCCCAAYAGTTCAGATTACAAAGTCAAGTAGGAAATAGATGAAGTATCTATATAAAGAAGAACTTGATCAGAAGAATGGATTGTGAGAGTTGAAAGAGATTTCTAGGGCTTTCTCGTTTCTCCAGAGTTAAGCAAACCTGTAATAGGAACATACACAAGTGATTAGGAAATTACTTGTACCGAATTCTATTGAATAAAAGTTCTCCCTTTGACAAGGACAGTTGTGTTCTTATATGCTTTGATCATTAAATCTTAGATTCTCACAGGAATAAGATATAGAAATCAGTCTATTTCTTAACAGTTTAGCACTCATATGCCATAGTCTTGAATGTCATAGGTCTACATCATTCTCATCTGGCTTAA